TTTTGTTGCTCCGATGAGGCCAGCTGATGAATAATAAGTAAGCATTTTACTCCTGACCACTCCGATCGACTTTGATTCACACAGTGAATGTTTTCTGAAAGCAATTTCAAAGAGGGAATTTGGGTGGCTGTGCATCTGTATCTCTGCCATCTTGATTTTGTGTGTGTGTGTGTGTGTGTGTGTGTGTGTGTGTGTGTGTGTATGTATGTGTGTGTCTGCGTGTGTGTGTCTGTGTGTATGTATGTGTGCATGTGTGTGCGTGTGCGTGTGTGTGTCAGAGCATAAAGCAGGTGTATCGAGGTGTGATTACTGAAGGCCGGGCAGGATGCCACTGGGTTTACTCTTCCTGCTCTGCTTTAATTAAGCTTTGTCTGCATGAGCAACCTTGACCTGATCAGCTGGGAAACACACACACACACACCTACACACACATGCTCCCGCGCGCACACACACACACACACACACCTTCCTATAGCTGTGGATGGATTTTCTGCATGTGATTATATATCTTAGGACGTTTTCTTTTTCACGTCACTTCTTGGTTCAAGCCATGAAAAGTAAACTGATGATAATCTGGACGCTTTCTGATTGATTTCTGTCTGACTTTCGGTTTGTATTTTGTGTAATTCAAAATCAAAGGTGATGAATAACTGACAAATCTGCACTTTATGATCCTCTCTCTGACTAATGACCGTACACAGAAATCATTTGGATGAAGTGCAATCAGACCATTACAAATTAACCAAAGTAGATGTTCTCACCTACCGCCACTTTTCATCCTGGGTAGTAAGCAGCTCCATTTAAATCGCTGATAGTGAGGTCTGTGGATTACTCTGAAGCCCAGGGACATTATTTTTTGAAGGATATACAATCTTTTCATTTCTCGTTGCTGTAAGCACAAACCAAATTACTTTGCGACTCTATTGTAGCAGGCTGCAGGCAGAAATCTCAGAGACACTGAGCATGCAGATGTCATGTCCTTGGGAATAATCCTGGGAATCTGGGCAGATACATGCAATCATAAGGAGTTTACACTTTGTGACTACGATGCAGTTTTTTCAGCAAGGTTTTTTTTAATGTGGGTTAAACAGAAGTACAGTTTTATTTTTAATTTTCACAGGTTTTTTGTTTGTTTTTAATTTTTTTGTTGGCTAACATGATTGGGTTTTAATTCTCTGTTTTTTTTCCCATCAGTTTGCTCTTCCTTTTTAAATATACTATATATTTCCACAGAGTGTAATTCAATTTGTAAAACTACATTTTTTCTCGTTGCTTTTACTGCGGTTTTTTCTTGGTTGCTGCACTTTCTGCACATATTTCACATTAAAAGCTTCTCCTCTGCTGTCCCTCCTTTTTAATATAAAACATGTGGATGCAGGAACGACTGAGTTTCCTATGAAAAAAAAAAAAAGCAATTTAGTGTCAGTTCAGTTTTATATAGTGCCAGTTCTCAACATAAGTCATCTCAGGGCAGTTTGCAAAGTAAGGTGAAGACCTGACAATATTACATTACAGAGAGACAGCAGCTCTTTGACCACAATTGAAAGAAAGACTTGCTTTTTCCAAGATAAGATTCGGCAGAACCAGGTTCAGGGAAGGCAGTCGTCTACCTCGACTGGTTGGTGTGAGGATAAAGACAGAGAGCAGACAGAAAACGGACAAACCAGCACTGGAGAGGTTATTGAAGCCATTAATTGCAGATCAAAAATGTGTAGCTCTGGAGCCAGAGATACCTGCAGAGAGGACAAAACACAAACTAAGGCACAGAGAAGACGCAAATAGTGATATGTAATGGTTTTATATAAATGTATGGACGGTGAAAGAGAGGATAGTGGAGCAGTGCATCATGGTAATCCCCCGGCAGTCTAAATCATAGCTAAGGGAAGGCTCAGGTGATCCTGAGCAGCCCTAACTATAAGCTTTATCAAAGAGGAAAAGTCTAACCTTTAAAGTAGCGAGGGTGTCTGCCTGCCGAACCCAAACTGGGAGCTGATTCCACAACAGAAGAGCTTCATAACTGAAGGTTCTGCCTCTCATTCTACGTCTGGAGAGTCTGGAAATCACGAGTAAACCTGCAGCCTGAGAGCGAAGGGCTCTGTTGAGATAATATTGTAAGGTCTTTTCTTAGTCATTAAGGGCTTCGTATGTGAGGAGAAGGATTTTAAATTCTATTCTGGATTTTATGGGGAGCCAATAAAGGTAAGCTTCTATGAGAGAAACATGTCTCTTGCTGGTCCCGTTAGTACTCTCTCTGCAGCTTGTTGGATCAGCTTGAGGTTTTTCAGGGAGGCTTTAGGACATCCTGATAGCAACACATTACAATAGTCCAGCTTTGAAGGAATTAATCCATGGACTAGTTTTCAGCATCACTCTGAGACAGGATATTCCTAATGTACAACTTACACAATAGTAATCACCCCACAAGACTCATAAAGAAGTGTTATCTCTGGCAAGGTGTGTGCTGTTCTTGGTATGCAGTGAAGTGTGAGAAAATAAGCCTTGAGGCAGCCCTGCCTATACACTGCTATACAGTTATTGGGCAGGTATGTGTGGAGTGTGAGTGAAGGAGAGAGTGGGAGGGACGTGGCATTTTCTGCGTGCTACTCTACATTTGAATTCGAGTTAATAAGCTGCTTTACATGAAACATAATTTTAATATGTGAAGACAATGAGGTGCTCTGTGCTATCTAGAAGGGCTCCTTGAATGGGCAAATTAATGATCTCAGTGTCACAAATTATAGTACAAGTCTTTTACAAAAATGATCCAAGCTGCACAGGGTGATTTGTGTAAAATTAAAATGCTTTTATTTCATATAGCAATATGTATTAAAAACGACCAACAACCAATGTAGCTCTTCTCAAAGGTGATTGTCAACAGTTTCTTCCTTGACTCTGTTAGAGAATTACTGTCTTCTCTGCGTGTTCGTTTCTAAAGATGAGATCGGATTCAATTCGGTCTCAATCAATCAATTTAATTACACATTGAATATTGCATTACAGAGCTCTGGGTCAAACTCTCCCTGGCATCAGACAAAGCAAGACGACTCCTGTTCCCTCTGACCCTTCTTTTTACGACTCAGTCACGTGATGCATGGTCAGGTCGTAAAACAACTGATTAGGGCCCATCTTCATCACACTGAATGGTTGCATCCTTATATGGACTTCTTTTCCTCCGTCTGTTGCTTGTCCTGTGAAACCATAAAAGAAACAGACCCAAGCAACTTCTTCAAAAGAAGACATTTCATGACTATGTGCATATATGTAACTTCTTTTATATTTTAAACCTTAAGGACTATACTTCACCCATGATATAATATATTTATACACAACAGCTCATTGTTGTAAGACACTTGCTTTTCAAATGAGATCATTTTCTTCACCAACGCAAAAGGTCTTCCAAGATGGAATCATTTTAATATCATTATGCAATATTATTACACTATTATTATTTATTACTATCATTATTAGATTATATTTTTATTTGTGATGGTTTAGTGACATTTATATGTATTTCTCTGCATAAGCAACCCATAATTACCTCTTGGTCAAATTTGACCTGCAACACTACAGATGTAACTCTACTTTTTCCTCACTGGCATTAATAATAACGAATCAACTTGAAAACAAGTCAAATTTGGCCCAAAGACAATGGGTAGGTGATTGAACAAAGTAGAGACAGAGAGCAAACAACCACCATGCCACAGAGTGAGAAGATGACATTTATTTTGAAGATATATTACAACATTGATAAACATTGATAAAGGAAAAATATATTTTGTACTGTGATCCATCCATTATCTATACAC